GAGCCTACCCTAGCACCTCCTCACTCCTGGCTATAACCTCCTGCTTTTCTTACAGGAAGGGATCCCATCAATAAGGAAAGCGCCTGGGTAACCAAAGCCCGCTCATATGGTCAGAGCGAAATACACACATGTAATACACTTTTAACACGTTGACGACGAGCCGTTTTTTTCATGAATTGCCCGTGGGACGGCACGTTTTTCTTCGTAGAAACTTAGTAATTTTTGAATAAATGAATGGCTACGGTCAAAGTGTTTCAAGAAATGCAAGATACGAGTATACGAATCTCGAATCTTTGACACAATTTAGCTTTTATTGCTCCAATCTTCCAAAACCAGGCCATTTTTTACCAACTTCTTCCTCTGGAGGCAGATTTGGCTGAAAATTTGTCTGCCGGGGTAGTTTGACCTCCTAAAGATCATTATTGCATCCCCTTGGCCCAGAATGTTTGTTCTTGAACTAATTTTATGAAAAGAAAATGAAACAATTGCGCAGATTTTGAGTTATATAATAACTGTAGGATAGCATTGGGTCGCGCCATTCCACAAGACAAACTGGCTATCGTTCACCATTGACGGAAATCGTCGTCAACGCGTTAAGTGGATATGATATTCTTGTTCAGGGGGTCGAACTACCCCAGGAGCCAAGTTTTCAACTAATTTGGTGATTTACGGTATTTTGGCGCCGGCGCCTGTGGCGCGGGCGCCAGGTAGTTCGTGCCAAGCAGCTGTGGTATTCATTTCAGAGGGACAAGCTACCCCCCAGGGACACCTTTACGACAAACTTGGCTGTTCGTCCATCTTTATTCTTAGAAAATATACTGGCAGACACCATTGTCTGCCATCGTCGTCAACGTGTTAATACACATGAAGCAGGAAGAATCACGAGAAGCCAGGCAACCTTCTTCAGAAGGTCAGAAGGGGAATACGACCCCTCCCAACAACGAACAAATACGACTTCCCCCCCTCGCTTGACAACGTCCGTGAAACGAAAAATCAACTACCAAAGGTTCCACCTAAAAACCTCGAGAGGCACAGCAATATGAATTAAACAACGATGCCGAGGTTACAGCAAGAGAGAAGCTGGAGAATATCAAAATGAATTTTTGTCAGCCCAGTACGACCCCCTCTCCCAGCGACCGAAGACGACGCCTCCCCCTCCCCTTGTAGGGGAATCCCCAACAACGATGTGCCTTGGGCAGCACACCATACTGAATGATCTCTTTCGCGATCATGCGAGAGCTGAACTTCTTAATGGTACTCCTCTTTGGTTGTGGACAATGTCCTGCAGGAATTCTGTCTGACAATTCGCCATCTATCCATCTCTAATGTGTAATATTTCATTACTCATTACTGTTTAAGAGGATGTTTCGACGGGTTCCTTGATAGTGGCGTCACTTTGTCGGTTCATAGAAACGCAACTGGACAAGCCACCTCCTCTTCATTCTAAAGATCTACATTCCAGTGTATGTTTTTTGTTTCGTGATTTTACCATTTCTCTTTCCCTTTTAGAAGCTTGCCTTGCTAAATGTTTGGCGTTACCTTCAGGTTGTAGCAGCGTACAGTTCCATAGCAGTATGGCTAAACGCAGCACCAATCCTTGCTGAATGTGAGAGTGTTTTGAACACCGTCGCTGAAGCAGTTCAATTGGGTGTTACGGGATCAAAGAAAAAGGAGGTGAGTTTATTCTCAAAGTCATGAACTTAGCTATACCCTGGCTGCGAATCTTCAATGGATGTTCAGGGTGCACCGGATGACTGTAAAGCTGCTAGCAAGCGTGTGTTGGAAGCTGCCGAATACCTTATGTATTCGCTGTTTTCTGTTGTGGTGAGGATTTATCTGTTCTTTTGATTTTTTATAACATAAGCCCTCAATCCTTGCTTTCTCTCCTTATTCTCTTTGTCTCCCTTTTTCTATCTGAGCACTTGTGATTCATTTGAAGGGTCGCACTAGTCAAGGCATTTGTGATGAACGACGTCTCCTGTACATGTACGGTCCTGCGGCGATTGACACGACCAAGTTCCTGCATGTAGTTGTCAATGGAGACACGCTGCTTTCCTTGCATGAAGCCTCACACATCAAGGAGTTAGCGGATGGTATGTTGATAATTTCCGATATATTGAAAGACCTGTGTTTCAATACGTTCTGGTGCAACGAAATCGTGACCTCCCACCATAACCTTTGCGACTCTACCCTAATAGGCGACCCTAAGCACGATCCATTTTTACTTGGAGCTCCGCTCATCGCTTATATATCGCATACAATTTCTCCCAATTAACTGTCGTCATCCGGGCAGTTGACTAGGCGGTCAAAGAGTCGCGGACGCGGCTGCGGCGCGTCACGACCGTGGATCAGCTGTTTCCAGCCTATTTAGCCGTTTTCTCCTCATTTCCACTGTATTATTTATTTTTGGCAAGTCGTTTTTCGTCTTTATGAAGTGTATCCTTGTATCCTGGGCGTGGATCCTTTTTTGTTTTTGTAATGAAGATGTTTTTGCGATTTTTTTAGGTATTTGTTTAATTGTTTGTTTAATTATTCGATTGTTCGCAAAAATTAGAGAAATCTCAATCATAATTTACCTTGTGAAGACAAGGAACAACTAACCTTAAGAAAAGCAGCCAAAAACAGTGAAAATTAGGGAGAAAATGGCTAAATAGGCTGGAAACAGCTGATCGCCGCGGTCGTGACGCGCCGCAGCCGCGTCTGCAACCCTTTGACCGCCTACAACTGCCCGGGTGACGACTGTATATAGGCGCAGATTTCAATGAGAAAACAAATTTTCCCAAATTCGATGGAAAGCTATTCGCGATGGAGTCAGCTTTCAAACGTCAAAATGACAAAGTGCTTTGAGCACCCCCGTAGAATTTAATGGGAAGGGGATAACCACAGAAAAACCAAGTTTTATTGGGTTTTGTAGAATTTTGTACTAAAACAACTATTACAGTCGAAGATTGAACTATGAATTTCTGCTGATTATATGACTAACAATCAGAGATACCAGTTCTGGCTCGCCGCCATCTTAGCGGGAAAATTAGCGCGCTTGGAACGGGAAACTCAACAATAGGGAACATCTACTTGAGGTTGAATGGGGCACGCTTCCCTCCCAGGGGTAAAATACGACCCCACAACTATGCTGTATCTTTATTGCACCCGTTGATTCCCTCATATTTGATTCCTCATTGCTTTGTTATTGTAGTAATGATGTAGGTTGTCCATGCGTGCTGTACATTCGTCGTTCACCGATGCAACCAGCATCAGCAGGTGTAGCGAAGCTTCGGCCACATCCTGACGGATACAGTGCGGATCAACCCCCAGCAACACCCCTGTCGAGCACCTTTGACACCGGTGAGTGATTGTCTGTGTGGAACCCATTTGAAAAGGAATGAGACCGATTGGGTTTTTAAATTAAAAGTGGTTGCTTTTTCGTGCACTCGGCTTTTCTTCTTTTCTTGATGACTTTTTGTGAGAAGCCTATTTTGTGAATTTTTACTTGAGGGATTAAAGTCGAAAGAGATTCACGGCATAAATTCTGCTGCTTGAGAACCCGACTGTGGTTAATCGATCAGTCCAAACCGAAATGGTGCTTTTGGGTGAAAGTGTTCGTCAAAGTTCTATTCAGGACTGTACTCTGAGATGATTTCAGTCAAGTCAAATTCTGCTTCTTCCTCGCAAATGAACAAAGCGTCGGATACGTTGTCGGTGGCTTCCACATCCACAGGTGATTCTCTTCATTTTTTTAAGTGCACAGTTTTTCGTTCCGTTTCCTTATCTATTCTTCTCTTTGTGTTATTCGAAAAAAAAAACCGACGGTACTTTTGAATGGGATGACCTAATAGATAAGGAAACGGAACGAAAAACTGTGCACTTAAAAAAAATAAAG